GGGCCCAATATGGGCCTTTTCCCACTTCCACACCCAAGTGAAAGCCCCATCCACCACTATAAGATGGCTGATCTTGACCGAGGTCATCAACGAAGTCAAAGTACGTACTCCTGCTGATGACCCGGCGACTAAGTTGTAGCCTGCATACGGTCTCTCTCTCTCTTTCTCTCTCTCTCTCTCTCTCTCTCTCTCTCTCTATATATATATATATATATATTGTCTATTTGTCGGTCTGTTGTCTGTCTGTGAGCTGTCTATGTCTGACTGTGTTCCTGTCTCTGTGTGTGTTGTTTGTCTATCTGTCTGCTCTCTGTGTTCCTGTCAGTCTGCCGTCTCTCTATGTCCTGTCTGTCTGTTGTCTGTGTGTTGTCTGTCTACGTTTTCTCTCCGTCATGTCTGTCTGAGTCTGTCTGTCCGAGTCTGGCCGAGTCTGAGTCTGTCAGTGTGTCTAACCTCCTGGACCAAACACCTAAGATTCAGGGCCAGACTGGGTCAACGTCTGGGAAAAAAAAAAAAAAACAGAAAAAAAAACAAGAATGGGTCAACATCTGAGTCAACTGCTCTCAGGTGCAGATGGAAGTCAACCCATCCCAAGTCCGACCCTACGTAGACCTGAAAACAGCGTTGGGCACAGACCCAGGTCAACGGGGTTGCACGGGCAGACCAGCGCCAGCGCCGCCAGGGCACGTGTGAAACTGGACACGGGTTACAACTTGGACCTCTGCTTTGAAAGGGGCGGGTCAAAAAAAAAACAACAAAAAAACAACAACAACAAAATGTCAACGTCTGTCTGTCTCTCCATGCTTGTCTGCCTGTCTGCTGCATACTTGCCTGCCTGTCTGCTGCATGCATGCCTGCCTGTCTGCTGCATGCCTGCCTGCTTGTCTTTTTTTTTTTTTTTTTTTTTTCTTACCCTTTGGCTGAGGTCCTGGCACAGGCCCATGTAAACCTGAGAACACCCCCAGGTCCACACTCACGTCAACATGGGTACCTACCTGGGCCCAAGCTCAAGTCAATGCACAGCCTGGGAAAAGAGCCAGGTCAACGTTTACTGTATAAAACGTTGACCAAGCCGAGTATGGAGCATGTCAAACTCCAACTCCTCTACGCTGCTGCTAAGTGGAACTCCTCTATGCTGCTACTCCACAACCTACCTTTCTCTCTCCATCGCTCTATCCATCTCTGTCTCCATCCTACACTCT